TCTGAAGGATAAGACGACATCGGAGAATCAGGCACAAAGGGCAATACGGTGTCAAGAGTGGTGGCGGGTTGACGGGCAAAAAGCAGATAAAACGGCGAGAAGCCCGTCGTGGCCTGACGCGCGGTATCGTATGCGAAGGTAATGTATGGAACAATAACGCCCCATTGTGTTTGATTTTCTGCAACGTATATGGACATCATTTGCGACAGCGTGCGGTTGAATCGTTCTGTTAACCCATTCGTTTGCGGGTGATAGGCGCTGGTTAGTTTGTGAACTGTGTTGCATAGGCGGAGGAGCTCGTCGAGAAGTTTAGCAATAAATGGGGTGCCCCGATCACTTATTATTGCCTGAGGAGCTCCATGTCGTAGGAGGATCTGGTGGAGAAAAAAGTTCGCAGCCTCTTGAGCTGTGGCGGCTGGGACACAAGCTGTCTCGGCGTACCGGGTTAAGCAATCCACGGCGACAATTATCTACCGCTTATTGGTTGCAGACATGGGGAAGGGACCCAAGAAGTCAATTCCAATTTTTTTGGAATGGTCGATCGGGCGGTGTAATGGACTGAAGAGGGCCGGATGACTGCGTGGTGCGTGTCTTGTGCATCTGACAGGGGTGGCATGTCCGAATGTACTTATTGATGGTGCGAAACATGCCTTGCCAAAAGTAGCTGGCACGCACCCGGAAGTAGGTTTTTTCAAAGCCGAGGTGTCCTGCAATAGGGTCGTCGTGGTGAGCTCACACAATGTCTTGTTGGAGGTTTCGAGGGACAACAAGCAGCCAGGTCCGTCCATGTGGCTCGTAGTTTCTACTGTATAGGATCCCATCGCGAAGAGTGAAAAGGCGAGCTCGGTGTTGTGTACGCTTTGCGGCGGAACAAGGGATCCCCATCAAGCAATCAATTAAAGGTTTCAAAGTGGTATCGGATGCTTGGGCAGATCCGATGTCGATAGTATCCAATACAGTGATGGGAGACACGGGGCCAGTAGGGGCTTCAGGTGAGGGGTCGCAGGGCAACGGACAACGTGAAAGGCCATCTGCATCAAGGTGCCGCTTTCCGGATTTGTATAAAACAGTGGAACTGTAATCCTGAAGCTTCAGGGACCAGCGTCCAAGGCGGCCAGTCGACCGCCTTGGACGCTGGTCCCTGAAGTCCAAGGACGCTGGTCCTTGGACTTCAGGGACCAGCGTCCTTGGAAAATTCCAAGGACGCTGGTCCTTGGAATTTTAAAGTGTGTACCATATAGGTATGGTCTAAATTTCAAGATCGCCCAAATGAGCGCTAGGCATTCACGTTCTGTGATACTGTAATTTCGCTCACACTTGCTGAGAGTTCGGCTGGCGTACGCAATAACGCGAGGACTGCCATTTACATTCTGGGCGAGGACAGCTCCGATTCCATATCCACTAGCGTCCGTTCGGATTTCTGTCTCTGCCCCCTGTATAAAATGACCAAGAATCGGAACCGATATCAAGGCATGTTTGAGAGCCTGGAATGCTGCTGCTTGTGTTGAGCCCCATCGAAATGTGACGCCGTTCTTCAGCAGCAAGTTAAGTGGTTCGGCGAGATCGGAGAAACGGGGTATAAATTTGCGAAAGTAGGTGCAAAGTCCTAGAAAAGCGCGGATATCTGTCTGGTTTTTGGGTATGGGGAAGTCGGAGACAGCTTGAACTTTGCCTGGGTCTGGGCGGATCCCTTCGGAACTGACGAGGTGGCCCAGCACTTTGAGTTCCTGAGCTGCAAACTTGCACTTTTTAGAGTTCAATTGCAAATTAGCGGCACGGAAGCAGTTTGAAACCTGGCGAAGACGGCGTAGGTGGTCTGAGAACGTTGCGGAAAAAACGATGACGTCGTCGAGATAACAGAGGCAGGTGTTCCAGGTTAGGCCGCGGAGTATGGTGTCCATCATTCTTTCGAACGTCGCTGGAGCATTACATAGTCCGAAAGGCATCACGTTAAATTGGAAAAGACCGTCCGGGGTGACAAATGCTGTCTTCGGTTTATCCGTTTCAGCTACCGGGATTTGCCAATAACCGCTACGTAGGTCTAATGAAGAAAAGAAGGACGAGCCTTGAAGTGCATCCAGCATATTATCGATGCGAGGGAGGGGATAAACGTCCTTTTTGGTGACCTTGTTCAGGCGCCGGTAGTCAATACAGAAACGCCATGAACCGTTTTTTTTTTTCACCAAAACCACAGGAGACGACCAAGGGCTTGTTGAGGGTTGTATAATGTCGCTCTTTAGCATATCGGTCACGTGGTCTTGGATCACTTTACGTTCTGTAAGGGATATACGATATGGACGGCTCTTTATAGGAGTTGCCTGGCCTGTGTCGATCTGATGGTGCACTTCCGATGTCTTTGAAAGCGGTGATCGGTTGAAATCAAATAAATCACTATATGTCTGCAGGAGATCGTCCAGAGCGTTCCGTTGGTCTGTATGCAAAATGGTGTCAATCATCCGCGTCGTTAGGGCGGTGGAGCACACATTCTTTGAACTTGATGGCGGTATAGGAATGGAATTGTCATTTAACAAAGTACTGTAAATTTCGTGCTGGTAAGTTCGAATGATCGCGATTGCAGTTCCTCTAGGTAAAATAATTGGAATGGCTGAGGCATTTGTAAGGTACAAATTAACATTGTTTCCAATGACGGCTACGGTGGAGTAGGGTACAAGCAAGCCTTTCTGCGTGAAGCTGGTAGGCAGCGGCTCAACAAGTCCGTAAGTGTCTTGAAAATGCATATTTGACGTGAGTGTTACGGCACGAGCAGTCAATGGAGGCAGGTTTATATCAGTTGTAGTTCGGAGGAGAACGGGATGCGAGTCAGGATTATCTTCGATATCAGAACAGTTCAAATGGAGTTGGCGCTCGCCGCAGTCGATTACGGCATCCGTTGATGCCAAGAAGTCCCAGCCTAGTATTACATCGGCAACGCAGCTGGAGAGAACTGTAAAGACGACAATGTAACGATTTTCACCAATGATCACGGAGAAGGTTGAACATCCGAGAGGTTGAACCAAGTCTCCATTCCCCATACGTATATAGCGTCCGGGTGCTGGCGTCATCACTTTTCGCAAACGTCGGCGAAAACTCTCAGAAATACATGATTTGGCGGCACCAGTGTCGACAAGGGCTATCAGGTTTTGTCCATGAATTTCAACGGCAACAGTAGTGGGGCCATCAGTCGGAGGGTTTATATAGCAATTTGTTACTGCAGCCTGACCTCCTGGGGCGACGCAGGCTGCTGGCTTCAGTTTGACGTCTGGTGGGTTGGAGCGGCGACGTTGAGGGGCGACACCGAACGCGGTCGTCTAAGATACGGAGACGGAGATCGGCTTCGGCGGCTGTCGCGATGTGAGAAGGGGGCTTGACTTTGAGGCTGGTTGTCAAAAGGGCGAGCGTCGTCATCAGTAAAGTAGCGTGGGCGAGGTTCAGGGAAGCGTCTATACTCGTTGGCATTCGATTGTCGGCGGCAATATCGGGCGATATGACCGGGTGTGCAACAGTAGAAACAAATGGGTCTGTGGTCTTCAGTCCTCCAAATGTCGCACTTTCGGCGAGGGGTCTGTGGTCTCGACGTGAGGGGGGATTGATGCTGTAGGTAAAAGTGTTGCGGGTCGTGTGGCATTGAGCATACCAGTGCAGGTGCGGGCGGCGCAGCGGTGCATGTCGGGGTCGCTGGTGTAAATGAACTCAACGCAGCGCGGAGTTCGTCGTGCACAACTTTCTGCACGCTGTGCGTTTGGGGACGAGGTTGGGGAGTGTCGGCAGACGCACGGAACTGGTCTAAAAATGATCGCAATTCTTCGCGAATAATATTGCGAATCAGCGTCGGTAGATCCAGATTAGAAACAGAGGCAATAGAGACTTCTGGTAGGCGATCAAGGGGAAGCTTTGAGATGCGGGCGCTCTGTAGTTCCTCATATGTCTTGCACTCGGTGATGAGTTGTTGAACCGTTGTAGGCGATTTGGGAGCGACGATGGCGAAGAGGTCGTGTGAGAGCCCCTTTAACAAGTGCCGGATGCGATCTTCCTCTGTCATTTGAGGATCGACTCTACCGCAGAGACGGAGAACGTCCTCGATGTAGCAGGTGGAAGACTCTGCAGTGGACTGAAATCGGTGAGCGAGTTTAGCTTTCGCCTGCTGCTTGTGGTGTTCAGGTTTTCCAAATGCGTCTGAGAAGGCGGCTGTGAAAGCGTCCCACGAGTTCATTTGATCTTCATGATTGTCAAACCACTGCAATGCAGTGCCCGTCAAATAAAACACTGCATTGGCCAGTTTGAAGCTGTCATCCCAGTGATTGTGATGACTGGCCCTTTCGTAACTCTTGAGCCAATCAGTTACGTCCATGTCGGGTGAGCCACTGAAAAGAGGAGGGTCCCTTTGTCGGTTCTTGATGCGCGGTGCTGACGGTGTTGAACCAGCAGATAGTTGCCCGTTGGAACCACTGGCAGATGGTTGGCCGTTGGAATTGCCTCTCTCTTGGGACATGGCCGGAAGAAGGTGTCTATTTCGCAACTCCAGGATGGGGTTATGGAGCGGAGAGGTCGAGGAACTTAAAGCACCTCCACCACCTGTGAGGGTGATAAAAAGTGATTTAATGGCGTAGATGATTGACTGCCATACACTGAGCAATGCTCTGAGTAGCCACTAAACCGAGCCAAGTGCACGCGCTTGACAATCTTCTCTCGGCCCCTCGTCGTCTTCTATCCAACAATATCCAGAACCTAACTACCGACCACCGACGTCACAACGGTGGTTAGGTTGTGGATATATAAGACATTGAGGAAATAAACACAGTAGCTGAGTTTAAGACGTGCTTTTCCGCTATCTTCCTTCTTCGACCAAGTTTCTCTGCTTTTACCACAGTCTCGGGTTTTCTACATCATGATCAATATTAACCAGCTCGCCTGTGCACTCACTCTTTTTTCATTGACCTAACAACGTTGATATAACCCTGATATTGTTTCTTATTTTGCCTTCGTGATTTTCGTTGTTCCAGGATGAAAAGTGCCAAAGGGAGTGGCGCAGGCAACCTGGTCGATAGTCGGGCAGCGGCGGTTCGGCAAAGTCCCGTCCACTTCCAGCATCCCAGGGGCTTGAACGAACCAGGGACTTCTCGTTACTCATCCGATGACGAATGGGCCGAAGAAAATATTCTCCCGCCACCTACTCCACCTGCGATGCCTGACCACGCCGACACTGTCCAAAATGACGCCGATGACGGAGCCCACAGTTGTTGTATTTCGTCCGACAACTCCATGAACGGGGACGTCGGAGGGAAGCCCATTGCCGCCAAACACGAACCAGGCGACGTGAATTCTTGGGACGCGAAGGCAGGCGGCAAGGAATCACTCGATCCTCCAATACGTATTGCTTCGTACGAGAGCATAAGAAACGATAGGAGCGCCGCCGACGATTCGGTTGGAATGGGTTTGGGCCGCACGCAAATCGTCTTGAATATGAAGCTGGAAACTGGGGATCTGCCCGACAAAGAACTGAAGGAAAGCGTGTGTCTTCTGCTACAGGCCGAGGCCAAATTGGTGGCTTTGCAACAACAGAGTGAAGCTTTGCGAACTGAGCTTTTAAGAAAGGAGCTTAATTTTAACACGGCCGAGAACAAAATCAGTGAGGGTGCAGCCTTCGGTGATTTTAGTAGTACTTAGTAGGTTTGTACTGTTCCCTTTGCGGAGGCTTTTTTCGAACAGCCCTTGCAAACGGAAGTAACACTTTCTCCTCTCAGCATCTCCCAGCGGTTGCACGGTGTCACTTTCGAGCCAAGGTTTTTCCACGAGCCAGCAGCCGCCGGTGTGCGCGAGCACGCACAACGAAATTGAAGACAAGATCGAGCATTTAAAGATGACAATGAAATGTATCGGCTCCGTAGAACAGGATAATAAAGAAAGGCTTTTCATCTCCACAACAGAGATCTATGTACTTCTTGGACAAATTAATCGCCTACCTTTTACTCTAGACCCCAGTGTGAAGATGAAAAGCCTTTCTTTATTTTCCTTTTGGACGAAGCCCTCACATTTTGCTGCCATCTTAAGCGTGAATGGTGGACCATGGCGTCAATTTCGTTGCGTGTGTTCGTACACACCGGCGGCTCCTGTCTCGCATAAAAACCGTGTTGCACCTAAAATGGACACTGAAATATTTAGTTCAGCATCCCTTTGATAAGCGATGCTTCAAAATATCGATACTTGAGCCATATTGCTGCTTAAAGAATTGTTGTCAGTTAACAGGGGGTCAGTTGCCTTTACACGTGGCGAATTGTTGTTGCCGTCCTAACTTTAGCAACGTTCAAATCAATACACCAATCTCACCGGCCAGTTTGACTACGCTACCGCTGCCGGAATGCATCGAGGGAACTTTAGTCCTTCTGCGCGTGCGACAACCTCGCTGGAGCTCTGCGCGTACAGGGCACGAGCAGTCTCGTGCACTGCCGATTGCCCCCTGTGAACTAAAGTTATGGCTGCCTCGCGCATGCGTGGAACGCTTGGTGAGATCGGTCTATTGGGGGAACCGATAAAACAGCACGCGAATCGCTCTAGGGTTTTGAAATAAACTTCTCTAGCACATCATCTACAAGCATCTTATCAGTTTCCTGGTTTCTTGTGATTATTTCAACCACACACAGCACGCCTTCCGCAAGCAACTTTCATGTGAGACCCAGCTGCTGTTTCTTACTAATGACCTTTTTCAAAATCTCGACTCCGGCTTTCTTACTAATGCTGTCTTCCCTGATTTCGCCAAGGCTGTCGACAAGGTCCCTCACACTCGCCTTCTGTTCAAACTCTCTTCCTTAAAATTAGATCCTCTCGTTCTAAAATGGATCGAATATTTTTTTAGCTACCATTCTCAATTTGTTTTCGCTAACGACTCGCCCTCCTCCTTAGCTCCAGTATCCTCCGGCGTCCCGCAAGGCTCTGTACTTGGCCTTTTACTCTTTCTAATATATTAATGACCTTCAACTTTCTTTTGCAGTTCGCCCTTTTGCTCATTATTGCGTTATATATAGACTAATACAATCTCCCGACGACAACCTGCCACTGCAGAGCGACATTAACGAAATTTCCGACTGCTGCCGTACTTGGCAAATGTCCCTAAATATTAATAAATGCATGCATGTATGTTTTACGCACTCGTCCTCCCCCCACGTAACAACATTAACACTAAATGACTCTGACCTCCAGGCCACTACCGAATATAACTATCTTGGTCTTTATTTAACTAATAATTTATCCTTGAATAATCATGTTAATAAGATCATATCCTCAGCTAATCGCTCTCGTGGTTATATTCGGCGTAATTTCAAGACGACCCTTTCTAACCTCAAAGGACTTCTCTATATTACTTTCGTTCGCCCTGAACTAGAATAAGCTTCATCTATCTGGCATCCCCACCTTTCATTTCTCACCAATGCAATAGAAGCAGTCCAAAACCGTGCAGCTCGTTTCATTCTTTCCGATTACTCCCGTTTTTCCAGTGTCACTGAAATGAAATCTCAACCCTCCCTAAACTTTCTCTTCGCCGCAAAATTTCCAGCCTTTCCATCCTGCATAAAGAATATTACTTTCTCTTTTTAAATCAGTCTCTCCTTAGCCCACCCAACTATGTTTCTTCAAGACTGGACCACATATGCAAGATTGCCCGACCCAAGACCAAATCTACAGCCCACCAGCATTCATTTCTACCCGAAACTATTGTGGACTGGAATGGCCTTCCCGATAACATCGTCACCATCGCAGATAACACCAAGTTTCGCCTCGAACTTAACCACCACTCCCCTCTGTAATGCCCCTCGGGGCCCTGAGGGTATTTGTAAATAAATAAATAAATAAGTAGATTGATCATACGGGCGGGCAGGTTGGTTATACTGCTGAACGAAGTTTCGAACCTATTAACCGGTGTAGTTTAACATGCACTCGTATGAACCTACTCAAATTTCAAACTTTTATTTGTTATTACGAGGGGCCCACATATCTTTATATGTTTCCCTATTGGCGTAATTATTTTTGGTATCTGATTTTTAGAGGGCAGCTCTTAGGCGCCCGCTTCCGGCTTGAGCGGCGTCGGCGTCGGCGTAACCGCAAGACTCCCCCCCCCCCCCCCCCCCGAGGACCTCGGGTTCCTTCGGGAAGACCTCAGGAGGACCTCGGGAGGACCTCGAGTACCTTCGACGACCTCGGGAAGACCTCGGGTTCCTTCGAGAGGACCTCGGGTACCTTCGGCGACCTCGGAGATGGGGGGGGGTCACGTGACCCCCTTCCCCCCGAGGTCACGTGACCCCCCCCCCCGCCCTCGAGGTTACGTGAACCCCCGCCCCCCAAGGTCACGTGCCCCCCCCTCGAGGTTACGTCACCCCCCCCCCCGAGGTCACGTGACCCCCCAAGTCAAGTGAGCCCCCTCCCAAGGAAGCTTGGCCGGCTTCGAACCAGAGACCTTTCGTGTAGTAGCCTGACGCGGTACTTGTCCGCCAAAGTTAAATAATTATTTAATTAATTAAGAGGGGGACGAGGGTAGAGGATGAGGAGATGAGGGGAGGAGGTTGAAGGATGAGGGCAGGAGGAGGAGGTGAAGGAGAAGGACGGGGAGAGGAGGAGGTCGAAGGATGAGGGGAGGAGGAGGGGTATACCCTCCCCTCAGTACCCTTCCCTCCTCCTCCTTAAGAGCTGCGCTCTAATTCGGCGTTACGGGGAGTTGTAAGCGGCTTTTACCTTTTTTTCTTTCCATTTATTTTCTCCTCTGCACTAGGCCGTCTTTTCGTGCACTTCAGGGAAGCAATAAAGTTCGGTGCGCCAGCGACATCCGGGCTTCGAGCTACACAACAAACTGCCGATATTAATCTTAGAGCATCGACTCTACTAGTACTGCTCATTATGCACCCATGCCACGGTGTAAGTCTGAGAACTAATTACTAGGACTGATCAATGCGCGAATTCAAGAGTCGGTGATGAGCTATATCACCAAGGCAGCCTCATTGATGCGCCGGCCATATTTTGAGCTTACCTACTAGTTCTCTAAAAAAAATCGCGATTTGGAGCCAACGGATGCATCACCATCGGAATGTATGACTGCCAGCATCGAGATGTTGATCATTCAACAGACGCCATCATGCACACCTGATTCTTCTGTGCAATCCGTCTCTGCCCAGCGCCTTCCAGTTTCTGCTGCGACTCACCCAAATGACTTGGGGATCTACGTTGGAAAGTCGGTAAGTGTAACTAATGTTTTTTTTTTTCTTTTTTGTTTACAGCCGGCTGTTACAGGCAGGCGCTAGAGCCGGGCGTTAAAGCTGGCGTTTACAGTCCAACTTTACAAAATTTAATTAAAGTCTATTTAAAACACGTTTTCTGTTCCTGAAGAATTCTATTAGGTCAGCAGTTTTAAACCTATTCGGGAGTGTGAACCAGATAGCCCACCCCCGAAGGGTTGAGGGCCCACACGGGTCAGAGGGAGGGAGAGGTATTTTTCAGAAAAAAACTCGCATTAGCAGCGACCTATACATTTGAAGCTTTATGATGCGTGAATTGCAGTACCTATATTGAAGCAGCGTCCACGGGGCCCACCAGGATTTCTAATACGTTTAGAAAACTTCAAAAATGTTTAAAATATTCTTTATTCAATCGAATCTAGTCTTGTGCTCTCTAAAACATGGTTGGATATGTTCTTCGAAGTTTTCTAGAGGTCCTTACTTAGCCTTCAAGAATTCATATAGTGTGTAAGAGATCCGTTATTGTCTTATGAGAAACCTGGTGGGCCTGTCTCAACCCTTTCTGTGAAACCACAGCGCCCACTAAAATAATTTTAATGGGTGTGTGAGACAGATCACGTGACCCTTCATGTTATATGCGTCGAGGAATCGTTTGATCATTTAGTATTTAACGGCGGCAACAAGTTTTTGAACTGAGATGTTCTCCTTTCCCAATTTTGTCCTGGCCTTGGTTTGCGCGGCCCCATCGTTGTTTTTGTGTGTTATATTCATGAGTTTCACGGGCTAGACTAGAAACGCTCAAGGACGCCAAGTTCTCGCTCACGAGGGATAGAGCTAGGGTACGTGGGGAAAATGGGAGGGGTTGTTTTTGCTGCTTCTTTGAAGAGAACCTGTTTCAGTCAGCCGAATAACACCCTTCTTCAAAGCTGGTCGCCATGTTTGTTCTCCTTCAATGGGCGCTAGCTAAATGCGCAACAACGAGCTGACGAGCCGACGCTCAGTGTCAGCTTGTTGGCCCATGCTTGGGACTTATCTTCCAGAGCGTCTGGGTGTGCAGATCAAGAAAACGGTCTCGTTTTGATGCACATTTCTAGTCCACTCATTGACAACCTTTCCTTGCTTCATCAATGACCAAGTATGCGAGGCACTGAGTGACTGCTCGCATATGTTAGTGACAGTGGTATCCGAAACTTCAGTATTGTCGCTGCAGATAGTCCTCACCCTCACACCAAAGCAGTTTGTGGTTTGCGTTACCATGGAATGGTTTGGTGTATTGCAATTCCCTAGAAATGCCAATATTTAGTTTGGTGCGCTTTGCGGCTAAAGAAGATATGTGAAGTGTCATGTATTGATAAACACGCTACCCTGACGTCAGCAACATGACGTCATCGCCCTGATAGCAGCGGCTATATAAAGAGAGTACGTAACGAATAAACCTTCTTCTTGGTCGATTCGCTACGACATGAGTCTGGTCTCCGTATCTCGGCCACGATAGAACAACTGGCGACCAAGATGGGATTTCACGGCGGCATCGGCGGCAGCTCGGCACAGCGGCCAGTCAAGTAACAACGCAGCATCGCGGAAGCCAGGAGCAAGCGTCACGGAAACGACGGAGGACGGAGAGGGCAAGATCAACAGAACAGATAAGTGCACTGTTTCGACCGACATTATGTCAACGCCTCATCCTCAGCAACGCCTAGGAGGCATGTCTGAGTTCAACCCAAAGAGCGACAACATTAGGTCGTACTTCGAGAGGTTTGAACATCTTGTTGACATTAACGAAGTACCCGCGGCGAAAAAGCTGAAGTTGTTCTTGAACGTGGTGGGTGGTCAGGCTTACGAGGAGCTCAAGAAAATTCTGGTTCCACAGAAGCCCACCGACAAAACTTTTGAGCAAGTGCGGGAGTTGCTAGAAGACCACTTTAGTCCGGAGTATTCCGTAATTGCCGAACGCTGCAAATTCAACATGCGAATGCAACAGGAAGGTGAAAGCGTGAAGGATTTTATGACAGAATTGAAGCACCTAGCACGCAACTGTGAATTCAAGGCATTTCTGAATGAAGCTTTGAGAGACCGCCTGGTAGCAGGCTTACGCGACGAAGAGACTCGGAGAATATTGTTTGCTACGGAGGGTGTGACTTTTGAAGGCGCATGTAAACTAGCTCTTGAAAAGGAACTCGCATCGCGGCAAACCAGCGAGCTGCGTACAGCAGAAGCGAGACCGACAGAAGTTCACGCTATCAGCGGCAGCACATACGGGAAAACGCGCGTCACGATCAAAGAACAAAGAAAAAGAAAACAAGCAGGAAACGCACACGTCACGATTAAAGAAGAAAGGCGCATCAAAGACGAATCGCGGTTGTTATCGCTGTGGGAAATCCCACGCGCCTGACCGATGCTGGTATCGAAATACGAAATGCCGGGCGTGCGCAAAGACGGGACATTTGGAAGCAATGTGCCAGAAAAAAGAACCGGCGTCTGATAAACTATGTTGATACGTCAGACGATGACTCCGAAACATCGCAAGTTTATCACGTCGTGCTCTGTGCAGCAAGCGACAAGCGTGGGTACAAGGTTTCTGTAAACATTGAAGGGAAGCCGATCTCTATGGTGCTGGACACGGGCGCAGCAGTTACGCTGATTCCTGAAAGCATCTTCGAGGCGAACTTCGCGGAAGTCGCATGTACTAAAGGTTTATTCGTAACGGCTGCGAGTACTCCATGGTCTTAGAAACACAACAAAGTGGCGACGAGGAATCAACCTAGACCTGATCTACCAGGGCAAGAATCGACCGAACCAGGTACTGTGCATCATGGACGACCTATCGCGTTCGATTGGACCTTATGAGGAAGGAACAAGCTGGGACGAGTACGAGGAACGCCTTCAAGAGTATTTCGAGTTGCAAAAAGAAAACATCAAGACCAATCGGATGAAAGTTTCTGTTTTGATCACTGCCATCGGACAGAAGACTTACTCCAGACTTCGGGATCTTTCGTCTCCTGAGCAACCGAGCAAGAGGACTTATGAAGAGCTCGTACAACTCCTAAGTCGATTCTACTCGCCTAAGCGGTTAGTGATAGCCGAGCGCTTCAAATTTGGAAAGCGGGATCAAAGATCAGGTGAACCTTTAACCACGTATTTGGCAGAACTAAGACGGCTGGCGGAGACCTGTCAATTTGGAGACAAACTCGAGGAGCAACTGCGCGACCGATTTGTTTGTGGTCTCAATCACACGATGGCCCAGAAGCAGTGCTTGACAATTGAAAATCTGACTCTGACACGAGCTGTGGAATTAGTAGCGGGATTGGAAGCGGCTGAGCATCAAATGAAAATTCTCAAGGATGCGCGCGCCACCGCTGAAGACGAGGTGAAACAACTAGCAAGTACAAGCGCTGCCTGCTGGCGTTGTCTCAAAACCAACCACACTCCTCAAGATTGCCGCTACAAGGGCTACGACTGTGACGCATGTGGACAAAAGGGTCACCTGCGGAAAGCCTGCAAAAACAGCAGCGTGCAACAAAGAGGGAAAACGTCAAATCAGCGTGGAAAAGGCAAACGCAAGGGACCAGCCAAGAAAGGAAAAGGAGCGGTGCAACAGTTGAAAAAGGAAGAGAGAGCGGACGAATATTTAGTCCTGCGAACAAACGCGGAAATACTGACTGTACCACCCCTCAAGAAAAGCGTCTTTATTAATGAAGTGACTCTGGAGATGGAGGTGGACACCGGAGCTACGGTGACAGTGATTCCAAAGCGGCTGCAAGGAAAACTGAAGATTCGCACGCTGGAGCCTTTCAGGACCAAGCTTCGCACTTGCTCAGGACAAAGCTTGAACGTCTGTGGTACTGCGGATGTCCAGGTCACAAGCAATCAGAAGACCTGGACGCTGCCACTAGTCGTGATTAATGCAGAGGTGCCACCACTGTTGGGAAGAAATTGGATACAAGTCCTGGACGAGACATGGATGCCAGCACTCCAGGTGAATACTGTGAAAGATGCGCATTGCTTAGAAGGCATCCTGGCCGAGTGTCAAGAACTTTTCAAAGAGGAACTAGGGTGCTTCAAAGGAGTTGAAGTCAATCTGCAGCTGAAGCCAGACGCCCAACCAAAGTTCATGAAAAGCCGGAAAGTTCCCTATGCACTCCAGCATCTGATCGAAACACAGTTAGATGACATGGTAAAAAGAGACGTCATCGAGCCAATAAACTACAGTGAATGGGCAACGCCTACAGTCAACATCCCAAAAGGAGAAAAAGAGGTCCGGATCTGTGGCGACTACAAGCTCACGGTAAATCCACAACTTGAAGTGGACCAGTACACTCTGCCAACAGCCAGTGACTTGTTCACGACTTTGAACGGTGGGCAGAAGTTCACTAAGTTGGATTTAAGACACGCCTACGAGCAACTGGTGTTGAATGAGAAGTCTCGCCAGTACGTCACCATACACACGCATAAGGGACTCTACAGATACAAGCGTCTACCTTATGGAATCGCCTCCGCCCCTGCTATCTTCCAGAAACAAATGGAGATACTATTGGGAGGGATTCCAGGTGTCTGCGTGTTCCTGGACGACGTTTTGGTAACCGCAGAGGACGATACAACGCACTTAGAGAGACTGCACGAAGTACTAACGCGCATGAAGGATCGTGGACTTCGGCTAGCGAAAAAGAAGTGCCTGTTCATGAAAGACAAGGTGGACTACCTGGGACATACAGTTAGCGGTTCTGGAATAAGCACAATGAGGAAAAAGGTCCAGGCTGTACAGGAAGCACCGGTTCCCAAGAATGTGAGCGAGCTACGATCGTTCTTGGGACTTGTAAACTACTACGGACGTTTCGTGCCCAAGTTGTCTACGATTCTAAAGCCGCTGACGCTTCTGCTGCATGAAGACATGCCGTGGAACTGGTCACCAGAGTGCGACAGGAGATTCCAGGAACTCAAGGGAATCTTGAGCAGAGCCCCAGTGTTGGCTCACTATGATCCAGAGCTACCACTGATTTTGTCTTGCGACGCTTCCCCAGTAGGAGTTGGAGCCGTGTTAGCGCACGTGTATCCGGACAAGACAGAGCGTCCTATTGCTTATGCATCAAGGACACTTGCTCGAGCAGAGGAAAATTATGCTCAACTGGAGAAGGAAGCTCTAGCGATCGTCTTTGGAGTGAAGAGATTCCATGACTACATATATGGACGTAACTTCATCTTGGTAACCGACAACAAGCCGTTGGCAACCATCCTTGGACCCAAGAAAGGCATTCCAACAATAGCAGCTGCAAGATTGCAACGTTGGGCAATGCTTTTGTCAGCATACCAATATACAATGGTCTGCAAGAAATCAGAAGACAATCTCAACGCCGATGCCCTATCTCGCCTGCCAATTGATGGACAAGAAGAAAAGGTGAACGACTATGCCACAAGTTTTTACATGGGACAGCTAGACCTGTGTCCAGTAGACACGAAGACCCTGCAGGAGGCAGGAGAGAAAGACCAACAGTACACCAAGGCACTGAAATTCACTCAAACCGGATGGCCTGAGAACGTAAGTCCAGATATGGAAGTATACTTCAAGAGGAAGTTGGAACTTACGGTGGAGGAAGAATGCTTATTGTGGGGGCGAAGAGTTGTTATTCCAGAGGCATGCCGAGAAAGAGTACTGCACGAGCTTCATGCGGTACATGACGGCATTGTGCGCATGAAGAGTCTGGCAAGACTGCATGCTTGGTGGCCCAACATAGACAATGACATTGTCAGAACAGTCGAAGAGTGTTCTCTGTGTCAGAAGTTTCGGAACCAACCAGTTCAGGAGTATTTCCACTGGCCGACACCCGAACAACCCTGGGAAAGACTGCATATTGATTTTGCTGGCCCGTTCCTAGGGGAAAGGTTTCTAGTTGTCACCGACGCCTTTTCTAAGTGGCTAGAAGTGGAAATAATGTCAGCACGATTGCGGAGAAAGTCGTGGAAGCTTTGCGGAAGTTGTTCGCACTGCATGGACTACCGCGAACTATTGTCTCGGACAATGGACCACCCTTTCATTCTGAGGTTTTCGAAGAATTTTTGAGGGGAAATGGAATCCAACACAAGTTTTGTGCTCCGTTTCATCCCGCAACGAATGGTGCAGCCGAACGAGCAGTACAAGTGCTCAAGCAAGGACTGCGGAAACAGACCGAAGGGTCATTACAAACGAAGCTTTCCCGAGTTCTGATGGCTTATCGTTGCACACCACACACATCCACTGGTTTCGCACCATCAGAACTGTTGTTCAAGCGGAGATTTAGAACGAGATTGGATCTACTTCACCCAGAGAAGTTATCGGAGTTTCAAGCTCAGAAAGAACCGAAAAGGAAGTTTGAAGAGGGAGACGGGGTTTCGGTGCGAGACTACCGAAAGGCAAAGAGAAGTTGGATTCCAGGCACGATTCTGAAGTGTCTTGGGAGAGCGCACTACAAGGTCAAGGTGCCCAACGGAGTTTGGAAACGACACGTCAACCAACTTCTTCGCCGACCAAGCCAAGTTGCAGGCACCGGGGAATCCGAGTCAGATACTCTGTTCAATCCCGAACCGGAGGAAAGTACATCAGCGAAACGTGGGAAAGCAGATTTAGAAGCAACTGTCCCTTCTCCGGGTGCCCGAACAACGTCTGAAAGCGCTGAACGCCGATACCCCTCGAGAGCACGCAAGCCGGTGTCTCGGTACGGACTGTGATTAGTCTGAGGGAGTGTTGTGTCCAGAAGTAGACACACGGAACGACGAGGAAGAACTGAGCTCGAGCGACCGACGCGAGCCAGCGAGCCAGCCGAACGCTGCCGTCTGCCGATACCGGAATCACCTTGATTGTAAATAGTTGTTCTATATGTACTAAAGGTTTATTCGTAACGGCTGCGAGTACTCCATGGTCTTAGAAACACAACACAAACCAACAAAGGTTTCTTTGAGAACATACACTGGAGAACCTTTGAAGATAAAAGGAAAGGCAGCTGTCAACGTAGAGCACAACGGACGCAGCGCAACGCTTCCTCTTTTCGTGGTAGGACTGGTTAGAAGAGTTGCAACTTGATTGGAAGGCCGTCTGTGCAGTAACAGAGGAAGACAAAGTCAAGTCTCTAAAGGAGAAGTTTCCAGAAGTCTTCCGTAGCACACCTGGAGTTGTGTCCAACTACGAGGCAAAGGTCGTCCTAAAAGCGAACAGCACACCAGTGTAGTGCAAAGCGAGGCCTATACCATTCGCAACCAAAGAAGCCGTTGCGGCAGAGCTACGCAGGTTAGAAAACGACGGCATCGTGAAACGAGTGACCCACAGTGACTGGGCGACTCCTGTAGTCGTTCCCAAGCGCGGCGGAGGAATAAGGCTCTGCAGAGACTATAAGGTGACCATAAACCAAGTACTAAAGACTGATTGCTACCCGCTACCGCTGCCGGAAGACCTCTACTCCATGCTTGCTGGTGGCAAGGTCTTTTGCGTTTTGGACTTGTCCTCCGCTTTCCAGCAGGTGCCACTAAATGCAGAAGCCAAGCCTCTGCTCACGATTAACACGCACTTGGGACTCTTTGAATATCAGAGACTTCCGTTTGGAATCTCCAGTGCACCCGCAATCTTCCAGGCACTGATGGACAAGGTCCTGGA